TTCACGATACGATAGGCTTTCGGATTTCCGTAAGCGTTCTTTTCTTGCTCGTTGTAAAAGAGGAGATATTTTGGCGTCTCGAAGTTGAATTTATATGCGCCCGCCAGCTCTGTATCTTTCACATTACGTGAGTAATTGGTCATGTGATATTTAGCGTTTGGGGTCGCGGAGTAGTCGTTTGGCCTTGATGTGGGAGCGATGTCCCATGTTGCGAATCGGTTTGTTTTCCCTTTGATATCAATATCTACTTTGAAGTTAAAAAGATGGGTATGCAAGTTTCCGTTAATGTGATCATGTACCTGTGCTCCGTAAGGCGCCTCCTGGTCTGTATGGAAAGTAGCTAGTATATAGCCCGTTGAAATAGCACGCACCTGTACAACTCCATTCTGGAAGAATATGAAATCAAATATATAATCATAATTCACCACAGTAAACACTGATCTCAAAGTTAGAACCACGTTTGACATTCCTTCATAATAGCTTCCGTATCCCATAGCATAGGAGTGGTGTCGTCTTAATGGGTATCCGGTGTTATGCTCGAAAATACAGAATGTATTCTTAAATGTCAACGGTTCTTTGGAGGATTCTAGGACAAATGATGTATCCATGAATGTGGCGTGTGCTGGACAGTCTATACCCGGTACCAGTCCCTTATCCTGAGGTCCTATTAGGGTGCAACTGTCGTAATAGTCTGGGAACATCTGGCCCGGCTTAAAACCGGAGTAAAGGACAACTATTTCCTGCAAGCTGATCTCGTAGGCAATCCTCTCGTTCCTGAAGCGGATGTCATATAGTTGTGGACCGGCTACGGTCGACATTCTGTAGTAGAACTTCCAGCCCATATATTCCACGTGGTTGTGATGTATTGAGTACCTCTTACCATCAGGTTCCACTTCTATTGGGTCTCTCTTAAACTCATTTTGAAACGCCTGGCCACGTCTTGTCATTTTTGAGAACGTGTTGTCATTTTCCGGTGAATATGGTACTTTCATTTTCGTCACAGATCCGTCAGAATATCCGGTTGCTAATTCCTCCAGGCTACTAAATGATTGTCCATGATACCAAACAGCATCTATCGCTATATTTTGAGTTTCATAATTAAAATCAACAAGAACAGCAAAATCAAGCGGATGCAGAATAAAAAAGTCTATTGTTCGTAACATTGTGTACCAGATCTTCCGACCGTGAGGCACACCGGATACTGCAGGCGAGAATGGGGCAGGGGACTGCATTGTTAAACATTTATCACCACAGTCTCTAAATTTCCCTCCGAAACTTTCTAGAACTAGATCATATAAAGTGGAATGAATGGCGTCCTCAAGTAGAAAAATCTCTGAATCAAGTTCTGGTGATGTCAATGGCCGAAGATTGAAAGGGATTTTCTGTCGACGAAAAGGAACTTCTTTCCAATGATTAGGGTTCGGAAGGGGTCCAACTAGATACTCCTCTACGACAGGGGGTCGCTTATCTCCCCTGAAAATTGTGACAATCGCCTCCCTTTCTGGCTTAACCCCGTTGTGATCAAGATAGTCTAGAACTTTCATCTTGGCTGGTACGTAAATCTCTGCTAGATACAGATAGCTGTTGTTTGTCCGTTTCTCTGCAGGCTGGACTAAATTTAGACTTTTCTGAGAATGTAAATACTTCATAAGCCCCCTGACCTCGACTGCCGTGAGATCGTGAAACACAGACGGATCATCTGGCTGCGCTAGATTGATTTCCTCCTTTCCAGAACATTCTGGCACCACCTGTTCTTCCAACTGTCTGTTCTTCACAAAGGATATGATGATGATTCCAACTAACAGGGCAAGCATACACAATAAGAGGACGAATGCTACCATTCGCCAGCGTCCTATCGATCGCCGATACTTCTCCATCTCAGATTTTGCTGTAAGATATAACAGAAGAAAGCACGTACTACAATATGAACACAGACTGTAAGAAAAGACAACGGTGAAAATAAAGAAAATACCAAAACAGAAAGAAATGCAGTATGGATTGCAATGCCAACGTCAGGTACTCGAGACTGTTCCACAGTTTCCTGTCAGGCAGAGTTCTTTCCTGACGATGCATTATGTAATATACATCAGATCCGTCTGGTTGTTGGCTTGTGGCAACCCCTTCAAGAATGACTTAAGGAGGCTCCACCCTTTCGCAATTAGCCAGCAGAATTCAATGAAAGTTTCACATAATGGTTATGTCACTATGTACAGATGATTTTATGAAAATCTAAGCATTCCGATAAACTGGGGAGTTTTTGTAAAATAAATACCGAAAAAATGAATTTTTTACAAATTGAACACTTTAACATTTTTTGGAGCATGTGGCATTATTCGAAATTATTACAAGAATAAAATAATGAAAAGAAACATTGCTAATCAACCCTACAAATATTTTATTTATAATAAAATATCTACAAAATGTACAAAAAGCGTTTTTTATTGAAATTGTATGGATAAAAGTTACTAAATACAATCTAAGTGCAAACCGGACACATAGTTTCATACAAAAAGTGTGAAAAATTGAACCAAATACACACAAAGTCTTTATAATTCATTTATTTTACATTTTACAATAATTTTGATCATGATGAGAGTTGTCTACCTTGAAAAAAATCGGAACTTTTTGCAGAGGGATAGAATTTATACAATGACACTTATTTTGTTTACTATACCAAAAACAACCGAAATAAATTAAATTACTATATTTAATTGTCAATTTATTGTTCTTTTATGGAACAAAATTACTCTCAATCATGTTACACTTTGGACATCATTCCATAGCCCGCTTACGCATGGTGCATTAACATGTCAGGTACATATGTAACCGTAGGCAATCGCATGGTATGCCGTTATTACGTGCACGCACATATAGGGATCCTGATATTTTACAAACCACTATTTTCACAGAGTATTGTAATTGCATTTGTGAACCGATTTATCTGACAGAGCATAACTCGCTGCTCGACAACAAAAGTCGTAGCGACCAAGAGCTTGTGAACTACTGTTAGCACGTGATACGTACAAGGTGAGGTCGGTAAACAAAACACATCAGTCTGTATTCCATGCGCCTCATATATATACGACCTTCTGATCGTATGTCAGTGTTTTCCTGTGAGTTAATTAATATCTTTGTATCATAAGCTTTATTTCTGAAGTACGTGTAATTGCACATGATTTCCAAGTTATTAGTAAGTCTCGATATCGGGTGTTGACATACCATCGTCACGCACGTGTACTTTTGTTTACCCGGTATTACTATAATTTACACTTCGGTAATGGAATACCCGATACGCAATACGGAAATGACGACACGAAAATACGACATGAGTATTACGAAGGATGGAAAGTCCTTAACAATACAATTTAAAGTGTAAATGTATTTGTAGACAATCAAAATTCAAGTGAGGAGTAATACCATACAAAAGTACACTTTCCACAGCAGCCCGATAGATGACTTGTACCAGTGTCTATACCATGTATGTGGAGATGAGTTGTCTCCCTTTGACTAATTGACATTGATTTTATAAATAATAAGCAGGCTGTCAAATATTTATTTGTATCTCTTTTAAACATGTTTTTGAAAAGTAGCTGCCTATTTTGTTCGTTAAAGATTCATGATAAACTATGTAGTGGCTCCTAGTATATTTGCTCCTATTAGATTCCTAGTATATTCCCCCTAACTACTCCTAGCACATTTGCTATCTAGTAGACTCCTTTTCGGTTCTGGTACATTTCTCCTAATACCTCCTAGCACATTTCTAAGCTCATAATAACTCCTTCTACTTTCTGGTTCTTCTCCAGCTCCACATCTGCTACAATTAATCTAACGTCTACTGCTTTCTCTGCTAATCGTTGTTCAACCTCCTGCTCTGCATGATTTCAAAATCCTTTTCACTGCCTCTTCGTATCTCCTGGCTCTCACGTTATAGAAAGTGCTAGCCAACCATATCGCTTAAATCTACCAACACGTGAGATCTCTGGCGTTTACTATTATAAGTGTATAAAGTCCAAGGGACTCGAGTAAAAACTATGTTTCCGAAAAGATATACAAATATGGCTGCCATAGAAGACGTAACGTTCTCTTTAAGATAAACATTCGTCTCTACTGGACTATAAATTGACAGATATATCAAATAAAACAGATATCATGTTATCTCAACTCGAGGACAATTGTTATAAGTACATGTACAAATGTTTGTTTCTCGTAAAAAATACATGACACATGTTACACCTGGCGGTGGACGTGTCGTCTTCATTGGTTCAATATACACAGTCATCACCTTGTATTTTAACAATTATATCATTAACATAATCCTACGATTTTATTAGGATGGAATACTTGAACCATATACAATTTGATGAAGTACAGCAATATTGGATCATTTACAGACGGATTTCATGTAACAATAAGAACACATCTGTATTCCATATCGGACTATGTAAGCTTTCAGTATTCGATTCTTGGTAACTAAAGACCTGCAATAACAGTTCACTTTGCAATTTAAAATGACATACGTATGGGTTGATACAATCTCATGAAATACAAAACGTAATTGTACAATAATTACAATAGTGGAAAATAATACTGTCACTTTCGAACTCTTTCTATAAGACATGATCATACAAAGGTGGGGTCAACATTCGGCCCCCACTTTGATTTCCTTTATTCTTTTGCCATAGATAGATGCATCAAAATGATCAATAACTGCACAAATGAGTATTCATAATTACAACTGATAACCGTAGTGGACCACCTTGCAGCACAGCAGGTTGAGTGACGGGGTTATCCTAACAAAATGACCGATAACTGTCACAGGCGAAAGCTAATTTGAAAATGAATTGTGATAGTGTATAGTGTATACAATTACTGTTATTTTGATATTAAATATGTCATATTGGTATTCATGAAGTAATTGTAGTGATACTTTTAATTAGAAAAACATGCAAAATTTTCACAAAATTTAATATATATCCAACATTATCTTTTTATGCAATATCAAAACCGTTAAAGTACTTTTCTAGCATGCCAAACATGATTAATGCCCAGTTTCACATAACCATGGAAATTTGATTATCAATGATTATTATGGTAAATACTGATACATTTTGTGATTTAGTATCATACCAAAACACTTCATTATACAGAAATATATTACGAATGTTTTAGTTATACAATAACTCATGAACATGTATTCTGCCAAAGTCATCTTTCCTCTGCAGAACTACTCAAGGTTGAGATTGTGTTGTAGACAAAGATATGCAACTATATAAAACAATAAATCTTAATAGTAACCATTATACGCTGAACACTTTATTACCGCCCCCATCCCTTTCAACGAAAGGGGATATACTGGAATCAGGTTGTCTGTCCGTCGAAAAGGTTTGTCCGGACAACTCCTTGAAAGTAATGAACCAATTTCAACGAAAGTTTCAAGATGTGATAACTACCACATGAAGTTGTGCATCCAGGTTATATAATTTTTTCATTCTAACCCCATGTTTTACTCAATTATGGCCCTTTGTTGAACATTCCTTGCCTTGACATGTCCTCAAAAACGAAGGGGTCAATTTCAACGAAAGTTTTCAGATATGATAACTACCACCTGGCATTGATCATCCATTGAGTATGCATTCATTCCGACTCTTTAAAAAGGGAGTTATGTCCCTCTGTTGAAAAGAAATTGTCTGCCACATAAACTGCTTGGCCGATTTCAATGAAAGTGTACAGATATCGTAATTACCCCCTGATGTCGTGCATCAGGGTAGTATTTTTTCATTTCGACCTTTTTAAGGAGTTATGGACCTTTGTTAAAAATCTATGTCTTGACAACTCTTCCCTAACTATTAGGACGGTTTCAGCAAAAATGGTTCATTTGGGCTAGCAAGATTTGGTAGTTTATGAGGCAGACAGAGGTTTTTTTCAACAAAGGGTCATAACTACTCTTAAAGGGTCGGAATGAAAAGTACTACTTGGATGCACAATGTCAGGGAGCAGTTACTATATCTATAAACTTCCGCTGAAATTGGCGCCATAGAATTGAAGGAGTTTTCTGGACAAGTATTTTTCAACAAAGGGTCATTTCTCCGTAAAAAAGGGGTCAGATTGAAAATCAATACCTGTATGTACAACACCAGGTAGTAGTTATCATATCTGAAAACTTTCGTTGAAATTGACCCATTGGTTATGGAGGGCATGTCCGGACAAGGATTTTTCAATAAAGCGCCATAACGTTGTAAAACAAGGGTCAGAATGAAAAAAGTAATACCTGCATGCAAAACTTCAGGTGGTAGTTATCATATCTGGGAACTTTTGTTGAAATTGGTCCGTTACTTTAGAAGGAGTTGTCCGAACAAACTTTTTCTACGGACAGACGGACGGACGGACAAGCTGATTCCAGTATACCACCCTAACTTCGTTGCAGGGGTTATAATAAAGTGTGTAATAGTTTTACTTTTAATATTATGTTATTATTTCTATATTATTGCATATTGTTGTCTATAACACAATTCCAACCTTAAGATGTTCTCCAGAGGAACGATTACTTTGGCAGAATACATATTCATGAGTTATTACTGTTGCACATAACTTTCAAATAAACGTTATATAATAAAGTGTTTTGGTATAATACAAAAACAGAAAATGTATTGGTATTTACTATAAAAAAAAATTGATAATCAAATCTCCATGATTATGTGAAATTGGCCTTTGATCATGTTTGGCATGCTAAAAAAGTACTTTACAGGTTTTGATATTTCATAAAAATGATTCTGTAGACAGAATATATATATGGAAAGTTTTTAAAGAAGTTTAAAATATAGACTACTATTGTAACTATATGTAGGCAAGTTGACAATGTTGGCTATATTTTAAATTATGTGAAAATTT